ATTATGATGATGATGATGATGATGATGATGATGATGATGATGATGATGATGATGATGATGATGATGATATGAAGCTGCTGCTGCTGCTGCTGCTGCTGCTGATGATGATGATGATGATGATGATGATGATGATGATGATGATGATGATGGTGATGATGATGATGATGATGATGATGATGATGATGATGATGATGATGCTGATGCTGATGCTGATGCTGATGATGATGATGATGATGATGATGATGATGATGATGATGATGATGATGACATTGCCCAGCATGGTGTTGCGCAGTGACACTGGCTATACAATGAAGACATTTTTTTTACTCGGCATCAGGACCAATCAAACTGGAGCCAGCTTGCAATCGTAAAAAGTTGATCCGCCGCAGAGTGCCAAAGAACTCGTGCGGCCCCGTTCGTTGGGCCGCTGTCGCGAGGGTGCTGGCACAGGGGGGCTGCGCTGCGCTGCCTCGTAACGGAAGACTTCTATGAGAAGAGAAACTGTGCCGCCTCATCTTCGGCGTCAAACTCAAAAGGGGCCTGCGTGCTACCTGAGAGAGCCAGTGACATGAAACTGGGCGAACTCGGCTGGTCGGGCGCACTCGATGGCACTGGGAGGGTTTCAACTGGCGCTAGCGAAGAAACAGGCACGGGTGCTGGCGAAGCGTCAGTGGCAAGCGGGCGTTGAAATACCACAGAGGCTGAAAGTGGCGCAACCTGCGCTGGCAGGCTGGGCGACACAAGCACTGGCTGGGCTGAACTCGCCATGGGCACTGAAACGGGCGTGCCTTGAGATGGCGCTGGCGTATCTAAAGAAACTGGTGGCGTGAGGGGAGCGGCACGCATATGGTGGACTGTCACACCGCTCCTGGACGCAGGCAGGGATTCACCTCTGACGAAACGAATTGCTACTGCTCGAGAGTCTCCAGCCAATGAGCCACTTCTTCCTCGAGCCATCCTGCCGGCGCCATTCCGCGGTGATGCTGAGCCGATCCCTCTGAAGCCAGCGCCTTCTGAATGATGAGGCGCCCCTCCCAGGTTGGGGCCCCGATGATGAGCTTCATTTTGTCCGTGTCGAAACAACTATCGAGCCGTGCGAAGCTGATGGCGGTCTGCAAATCGTCCTTGGAGATTTCCACCTCCACATCTGGGTCCATCGGCTGTACTTTCTCGAGGTACGTGGCGATCTCTGCCTTGAGCGAGCCCCCGATGTCGCATTTCTAGAGGCTCTCGAGGGCTGCGAGGCCCAACGCTGGAGCGGGAGAGCCGATCTCCTTGAGCCTGGCCTTGTCGGCGGCTTCTCCGCTCCTGCGAAGCTGATCGAGGAGCTGCTTGTAGCCCTCGAGCTCGTTCGTGATCCCGTCGATGACGGGGTGCTTGCTGCTCATCGTGTACGTGTCGATGCCGATGCTGCTGGTGAGTCTGGTCTTGTGGGTGGTCTGGAGCAGCAGCTTCAGCGTGGATCGCAAGAGACTCAGAAGGTTCTTGTCCTTGCTGCTCCAGACCTTGTCGTTGTGCGCGCCGCGCCTGGCCCTGCGGCCGCCCCTGCGCTTCCTGCGCAGGCCCTGCGCGCCCGCGGCTGCGGCCTCGCCCGCGAGCTGCTCGTCCTCGTCCGCGGCCACTGGGGGGCGCGGGGACCTCGAGCGCTGGCCTGATGGCGGCTGCCGCGCTGGAGGCGATCGCAGGCGCGCCTTGGCCTGCGGTGGCTCCCCTGGCTTGGAGGCGCTGCCAGATCCCTTGGAGCCCGCTGAGGAGTCCAGGGGGATACGCCAGGGCGCCCGAGCCGCCTTGGCTGGCGTCGGCGGAGGGCCCTTCCCTGCGGGCGGCGCCGTCGCCGCGCCTGCTGCTCGTTCCTCGCTGGTGGCTGCGGCTGCCGTCATGCTGTTCAGGAAGCGGTGGGAGTGTAGGCGTCGAAGCTCTGACCTCGCTGCTCACGGGCTCACAGACTGGGGGCACTGGCGTGTCTGCACGTCGAGAGGCCCTGCGGATCTGTCGGCGCACGTCTAGCGGATGTCCTGGCCTCAGGATAAGGTCGGCTGATCGACGCAGCACTGCCCGTACACCAGCGGTGTCCTCGATCACGCGCGGCCGCGGGTGCTGTGAATGGCGGGAAACTCGCAGCACTGGGCTCGATCGAGTCGAGCGGAACTCCGTCCTGAGAACTGGTTTGAGCAAGGAACCCGATGGCGACGGCGGGAGGTGAGAGAGAAGATGTCTCCGTAGCTGTTCGGGGGCCTGGTATTCATGATGACATGCGGGATCTAGATCATATTCACGAAGAGGGCATGTAGTGCATGTAGTACATGTGGCTGGAACCCAGGGATAAGCATGGTGAGTAAGTTCAGGCATGCATCGGCCCGCATGCCAGGCCCACCTTAAGTGTCGTACTGCATGGTCTCTGTTGGGGAATGTTGTGTTGCATACTAGGCATCTGTTATCCACCTGTATTGTAGTTAAGATAGACGGCATCCCATGTCCCACTCCCCTTGATTTAGTTTGATGCGTAACGAGCTGTTTCAACGTGTTGAAGCGCCTACCACAATGCTCGATCGTGCACTCGAACGGTTTGTTGATTTCGTCATCGCTGTCGGTCTCGGCGAGCGCATTCGCAGAGGGGAGGGAGTCGTTGAGGATGATGTGTCCTGGGGGGGCCCATTGGGAGGTCCAGTAGGAGGCCCGAAGTGCTCGAACGTCGCAATACAAAAAGGTCTCTCGAACGTGTTCGTCCTCCCACAATGTTTTGACCACGGTCGGCTGCCACACCTCCTGGAAGCTCTCGCCTATTGGGTGTGTAGCCAGGCAAAGAAGATCGTCCGCGAGCTGCTGTGCCCACGGGTGAATGCTCGAGCCGCCAGCGATGATACCCTGCTCACTGAGGGTGGCCGCACTGACAGGGCGGTTGCGTGTGGCCGCCTGCTGCCCGAACCGACATCGTCCAAACAAGAGAGCGAGAAACTGGCCATGGTGGGTCGGATCGCGGATGATACTCTGCCACCAGCTGAGCCTGCGCACGAGAAGTTCGATGGCCGACGGTGCGAACTGCCACTCCTGAAACAACTGTTGGGTAGTGAGGGAGTGGTGAGTGTTCTGGTCATCGACGGTGCGTGCCTTGCCTTGCATCATAGCTCTAAGTTTGCGTGCGAGCGAACTATCTAGACGATGAAATTCCCGAGGACGAAGTACATAGCTTTCCAGGCCTGACCAGAGACGTCCCGCAACGTTCGAGAGGAAAGAAAGTCGCGTTGCCTTCCAAGGGCCTCCTGAGAACCAATAGTTACCCACGCGCGTCCATCCAACGTTGGCCGACTGGAGCCTAGCTTCGAGTTCACGTCTGTTGTTGTTCGAGACGTGGACATATCCCCCAAGATGAATAAGATCCTGAACTGCATTCCCAGATATGTGACGTTCTGCGTCTTTGGTGGCCCCATGAGTTCCAAGAGATACGAGGGTGTCCTGCTTACCTATATTCTGAGCGTATCCGCCCAAGTTCAGGGCCTCCGAGAGCGAATTGTTGTCGATCTTATCTAGCTGAAGGGCCTGGAGCGCGGTGCCGTCGGGCACCAGCAGAATCTTAAAGAGGTCATCTATGAACGCGCCCAGGTTCGCATCGAACTGCGCAGAAGTAAAAGGGCAGACAACTTGAAACGGGTTTCCTTGAACTTCGGCCATCTCCTCCTTCCACCTGGACACCAAAGGATAAAAACTTTCCATAAAAAGCTCTGGTTCATTCGAGTCTCCCATCCTTCCTCCTGTTCCTGGCCGAAGGGCAAGGCTAGTGTCGGATGCCTGGAGGTAAACTACCGCTTCGGCTCGGTGCTGCTCAAGGAGGGGATGAAAGTGCTCGTCCGTGCACCGAACAGTGCGAGCGGCGAGGGGCCTCTGGTGGTCGCCCGTGGCGAAGGCGTTCCTCATATCATAAGACTTCGCAGTGAAGGAGAGGCGGGCGGCGCGTAACTTCCAAATCAGCAACTTGGCGATCAACATGAGAGACTCACGTCGGCGGGGGTAGATGCCGCCGTAGGCCCATGATGGTGGTGCGTAGGGCGCACCGTATTGGACTAATCCGACACGGAGATAGAGACGCCAAAAATGATCAAAACAATGAAGCAGACGAGCGCTGGTGTGGATATCGGTAATGGCGTTGCCAGTGGGGCTCTTGCCTTTCTTGCCGATCGCAACTGCATGACTGGTCACGGCTTGAGCTGGTAGGGATCCACATCGATGGACGTGGGCAAGTAGGTTGACGAAGGTCTGGATAATGGTGTAGCAGTGGGCGTGGTCGAGCTGGAGTTTGCGCTTGCTCGGGTGGCTGATGTGGTGAGCGAGTGGGTCGGCGTGTTGGTAGTCGGCATCGGCGTGTCCCAGTCCCACTTGCTGGAGGCCTGGTCGAGTCAGGTACTGCGGGTTGAGTAGCATAATGGTGATCTCGAGTGGCCATGCCCAGGGCGGGTTGTATCTGCGGCGCTTCTCTCGCCACAGATGCTTCTGGATGTGCTCTAGCTCCTCAGCGGCGGTCTCGACGTCGGCGGTGTCGGGTGCACCAATAAATTACCCCACCGGTGCCAAGTCGTTGGCGCGCTCGAGCATGCGCGGGATGGTAGTGGGGTCCTCGATGTACATGCTGACGTAGGCGGGGGTAGCCGTCATGCCTCCATTGATAGCCAGTTCGCCGAGGGCGGCGGTGTACTCAGCGGCTGTGGGGCGCGTGGACGGCAGCGCAAGGTATGAGCGTCGTCGTGGTCCAGTGCGGCGGCCCGCGCGTAAGTAGGTGAGGTGAGCCACGCGAGAGAGGTCACGTGATGCCCATGCGTCTCGTATGTCCTGATCCAGACTGGCCTTCCACCAGTAATCCATCCATCGTTGATGGGCTCGTAATTGACGTTGAATGTCGCGAAGGACGGTGCTGTTGAAGGGTAGGCGTCGCGCTCTGTGGTGTGCTCGGAGCTTGAGGAGGTCCAAGCGGTCGTGGCGTGCCCGCTGGTACCAGTGTGGTTGTTGGCCCTCCTTGGTGCAGTACTTGCGGCTGCGCTCGCGGGTGATGTGTGCCAGCAATGCGTTGTGTCTGGTGGGGTATTGGTCCATTTTGATGACACGAAAGGCTTCGCGGTGGGACTCGATGGTGGTGGCGACGTCCTGAATGAAGGTGGCGCGCTGGTGTCCAACTTGAAGTCCCGCTGCGAGGAGGCCCCAGTCCCAAGGTATGTGGTGCTGGAGTGGAGAGCCGCTGCTGACAGGGACCTTGAGCTGCATGGCCATTGGGATGTGGTCGGGGACGTGGTGGAGGCACCGTAGGATACTGTGGATCTTCCAGTTGAGGCGGATGTACTTGATGATTTCAGTGACGTTGTCGGGGCCAATGAAGTAGTCGATGCGCGAGCGGGATCGATTGGGCCCATAGTACGTGTAGCCAGCGTCCGCGTGCGTGTTGTAGGCCGTGAGTTCGTAGCGGAGCATCTGGTCGTGGACGTGCCTGCCGAACTCCGTCTCGTCGCCGCCCTGGTGTGGGCCGATGGAGGTGTCTGTGAACGGCTGCCGCGCTCGGCGGCCCAGTCCCTGGTTGAGGTCCGTGAAGAGGATCGGAGTGACACGAGACGGGACGTCGTGCACGGCGGTGAGCACCCAGGACCAGAGTCGTTGACATCCATGGCGCCAAGCTCGATGCTGTCCAGGTCCGTTGGGGCGTGGTGGGAAGTAGGCAGTGACGAAGCGCAGGCGTAGTGGTCCTCTGTGTACTTCAACCGCTCCAGCTCGTCCGCGGAGGTCGGGTGTCGGTGGGTGGAGAATCTTGACAATGTCGCTGCGTCGGAAGTGGCGCTTGGCAAGAGCTACGCTGCAGCCCGCAGAGCTGTTAGTGTGGGCGCCGCGGCCCCATCCGAAGTGGACCCAGTCATGATGCAGGGATTCGTCCACGTGGTGAGGCGTGTCGGGAGTGCGTTGTCGTATCTTCGTGCCGACACAGAGTATGGCCTGGTAGCTGCGGCACGTGTCGGAGATGAGGTCGAGTCGGCCTGGTTCGCCCTTGAGCGAGAAGGGGCTCCAGCCCAAGATGGTGATCGGCTTGAGCGAGGCCTGTGGTAGTCGTACGTCGGGATCGCCATCCGTGGGTGGGTCGTGCGAGGTGCGTGGTGGGCATGGTGAGTTGGCAGGAGCGCCAGGTGGTTGTGGGTGGGCGTGGGGCACGGGGCCCGTAGGAGCGCTGGAGTCGGAAGCAGGTCGAAATTCGCGATGTTCTGCCAGAACTTCATCTTCAGCGGAGTCACGAAATATACGAGGAGGGAGAGAACCTCTGGATTCGCGCAGATCGCGTAATTCGAGTCGGCGGGCTGGTGTCCTAGCATCCTGTAGTGCTTGAAGTGCTTGAAGAAGGACCTGTCCGTCGGGAGCGGCGTGGGGAGCGAGACTGGGTTCCCGATCAGGCGAGGGTGGTGGTGGGCGCGGGGGGTCAGCAGGAGCCCCAGGCAGCGGAGCGTGGACGTGGGGCGTACAGCTCGTAGGAATGCTGGTGTCGGAAGCTTGTCGAAATTCACGATGTGCGTGTATAAATTCATCTGCAGCGTGGGTATGAAATAGACGAGGAGGGAGATATTCTCTGGATGCGCGCAGATCGTGTAATTCAAGTCGGCGAACTCTAGCTTCCTGAGGTGCTTGAAAGGATCTGTTAAGTGATGGCCCGTCGGGAGCGGCATGTGGTACGTGGCTGGGTTCCCCATCATCACGAAAGTCACGTAGAACGCGAGGCTGTCTGGATTCGTGAACTTCGCGAAATTGATCGAGGGGGCGTGGGTCTCGATGAAGTGCGGCTGTGGGTTGTTCGGGAAAAGGAACGGCATCGTGATGAGAGGTGGCGGGTCCAGCAGCTTGGAGCACGCTATCCAGTGCAGCCTGTAGTCGTCGCGCAGCGTCTCCTGCACGTGGTGGGGTGAGCGTCGTCTGCTGCTCGTAGTGGTGGCGACCATGGCACAGCGGCTTATCAGTGTCCTCCATCAGGCGCGAGGTGCCCACACGCTGGAGCACGCGCCTCAAGACATCGCGGCACTGAGAACGGGGTGACTGCCGTGTGTGGCCCTCCGCCTCTGGGCTCGGCGGAGAGGGCTCTGGCTGGAGGCCGCTGAGTCTCCGAAAGGCCTGAGCGCGCGGCGGCCTTACAATGAAGACAATGAAGATGAGGATGGGGGAGCAGTGTGACTGTAAGAAGATAAGGAGGATTAGGAGGAGGATGAGGATGAGGATGAGGAGGTGGAGGAGGAGGAGGAGGAGGAGGAGGTGGATGAGGAGGTGGGGCAGGGGTGAACAGTCCAGAAGGAGAAGCAGGAGCAGGAGAGGGGAGATAGGGATTGGGGAGGACACACGAAATAGGAGGAGGAGACGGACGCCTCCCCCCTCCCCCTGTTCTGCCACCCCATCCTGAACCTCCCGTTACTGCCGCTCCTTGTCCTCGTCCTGTCTTCTTGCTTCTGCTTCTCGTCCTGCCTCGTCCTCCTGACCGCTCCTCCAGCCTTCCTCCTTTTCCTGCTCCTCCCCCTCCTTTCCCTCCTTCCCCTCACCCGGAGACGTCACCCAAGCAGACCGCGCGGCTGTACCAGCGCGACGTGCTCACGTGCATCGAGCTTCGAGCCGACGAGCCCACGTGGCTGCGACGACTCCGAGGGCACCTGGCGGGAGGCCGTCCAGGCCTGCTTCTGCAGCCTGCTCCTCCCCGCCCCGGAGCGCCGCGTGAATGTCTCGCTGGCAGGCGGCAGGTGCACGACGGGCGAGCGGGCGCGGGCCTGGGAATCCCGTGTGCGGGCAGCGCCTTCTTCCGCGCTGGGCCCGAGGCCATCCGCTGCCGCGTCTCGTGCTGCCCGCGCGGCAGGCCGCCGTGCAGTGGACGACCCTCTGCTGCAGGACACGGTCCTGCCCGTGCGGCCACCGCGGTCCCCGGAGCCACCGCCGGGCGATCGGCAGGCGCTCGTCTGCGCGTTCGGGCGATCGGGAAGTGCTCGTCTGCACGTTCGCCTTCCTCTCCGGTCGTGCCGCTGCCAGGGAGGGGTGCGCCACCACCTCCTCCTCCTCGACCTCCGCCAGGCGTGCGGGCTGGGGAGTCGTCCACCGGGACCCCGTTCTGGACGTCCTTCGCATGATCGTCGGCCCGATTCTTGCCAGGATACCGCAGTCGGCAGTTCGCACCGAGCACTCGTGTTTTTTCCACGGGTGCAGAGGTCGCGGACGGGATTTGTATGACATAGGTGGTGATTATTCTTTTGTCTTTGGGTCAGTTTCCTCTCCCTCCTGGACGTCGACCTGGTCAAGTGGCACGTCCTCCTCTGCCGTGCTGGAGGCTGGTGTTCGCGACGTGCCGTTGACGGCAACACCACATCGCTCGCCCTCCGGATCTTCGCCTCCGGTCTCTGTCCGCGGCGTACCTTTTGTTGTGCAAGCTCTTCGGCACCGCCTGCACCCCGGGTTCCGCCCGCTCCGGCCGCCTGAGGCCCCGCCCTCCTGTGCCCTGTCTCCCTACTTGTATCTGTGCGTAGCCCGCCTAGCTTTTAGCAGAAGAGGTTCGCTCTCGCCCCGCCGACCAAAAACATGTCTTTGTGTCAGCCAGTCGCGGGATGGCCCAAGCGGGCCAGTCCTCGTCTCTTTCACTGGCTTCTGGCGGACCCTCCCTCGGCAACACCAGGCCTGCGCGGGCCTGGTCCAGCAAACGTCGCACGTGCGCGTAGCCGAGTAGCCCACCACCGACGCTGGGTGGGTTGCCCGGCTCAATGCTCAGGCCGACCAGGTGGCCAAGCTGGGAGCGCGCCCCCACGGCGCATCTTCTTCTTTGGCGGCCGGGGCCGAAGATCGGCTCGCGAGGACGAAGCGTTTCTTTCAAGGAACCGCCCGAGTGCTGTGTCTGGGCCTTGCTCCGAAGCAGGAGTTCACCACCCACCAAGCCACCCCAACCCAACCCGAAGGCTCAGATTTGCCCTCGATTTCCAGTGGGTGGGGGGGGGGTCGGGAAACATCGAAAAAAACACATGTGGAACCCTTACCCTCCCCAACCCGAAATTCGGGTCTTCGGGTTGGGTTGGGGTGGTCTGGTAGGTAGTCAGGATTGGGCGGACTTGCGCAGGCCGCCCGCCTTTCGCAGGGCGGCCGGGCAGATCGCCCACGAGTTCGTCGCGGCCTGGCCTGAGTTGGTGGCAGTGTGTGCGTCTTTTCTGCTGCACGACGGCGGGTGTGCCCTCGATCGTGAAAAGAGCGCCGCCTGGAAGATCGGCCTCCCAGTTTTGTGCGTGAGACAGCCCAGCTGGGCCCCCGCCACGTTCAACGGGGTGCGCTCGCGGCAAGGCCTGGAACTCCTGGGAGCGAGACTTCCCTGTTGTGCAGGGTCTTGGGAGCCTCTGCCCCACCGATGGTACTCCTGGGTGGAAGATACAGTGCCATTTTTAATACATGCTCCGCGTGCGGACCATGTATTAAGAATAAAGGGTTGATTAATAAATGCAATGATGAGTTTATGTATTATTTTGTTCATACATTAGTCATGCATTATTATCCCAGTGCGACCCTACGTAGGAGTTGGAGCCTCTTAGGAAAGCAACATCAGCAGCAACAGTAGTGGATGCTGTGCTGCGTTATGCTATCCTATACCATGCTATGCTCTGCTCTGCTCTGCTCTGCTCTGCTCTGCTCTGCTCTGCTCTGCTATGCTGCGCAGTGCTATGCTGGGCTAGGCCAGGCTAGGCTAGGGTATGCTATGCTATGCTATGCTATGCTGCGTTGTGTTATGATAAACACTGCTATGCTATGCTATGCTACGATGCGCGATGTTATGATATGATGTACTATGCTATGGTGAGCTATGATGTATTATGCTATGCTTGGCTATGCTATGAAATGCTATGCTGTGCTAGTGCTGCGCTACGCTGCGCTAAGCTAAGGTAAGCTAAGCTAAGCTAAGCTATGCTGAGCTAAGCTAAGCTAGGCTAAGCTAAGCTAAGCCAAGCTAAGCCAAGCTAAGCTAATATGCGATAAGCTAAGCTAAGCTCAGCTAAACTAAGCGAAACTAAGCTAAGCTACGCCAAGCTAGGCTAGGCAAAGCTAAGCTAAGCTAAGATAAGTTCAGCTAAGATGAGATCAGCTAAGCTAAGCACAGCTAAGCTAAGCTTAGCTAAGCTGAGCTGGGTGAACCCAGGTGGCGCAACTGGGGGAACCGCGGGGCGGATGCTGGGGGAACCGCCCGGAGTGGGGCCCATTGCCCGCCCCTTTAAGCACACCGAGTAAGAACCCTTCTAGGCCAGAGCCTAGGCAGGGAACAAATCCTATATTTAAACAGTTCCTATGTGTTAAGCACTGCCCTGTAGCTGATGCGGCGCTGCACAAATGGAGGCGGTTCCTGAAGGGCCAGCATCCGGAGCGCGGCGAGAGTGCGGCGATCATCGCAAGTTGTCCGTTACCACCTCGAAGAACACCTCAACATTACGGCGCCTATCTCTGCATAGGCACGCGCGTGGCGCCGCGTTCCGCTCTTGCCCGGCCTGCCCAGCTCGCAGGGGAAGAACACCAGATTTCTCCTCACCCCTTCTCCTGCTCCTCCCCCCGCCCTTCTCCCCCCTCATCCTGCCAGCCCTCCCCGTTCTGCTCCTCCCGCCCTCCCCGTCCTCCCGTTTCGTCCCTCCCTCCTCGCCCTCCTCGTCCTCCCGCCCTCCTCGTCTCCTCCTTCCCCCTCGCTCCCCATCCTCGTCCTCCTGCCCTCTTCGTCTCCTCCCCCCTCCCCCCCCCTCCTCGTCGTCCCTGCCCCTCTGACCCCCTCCCCCCCCAGGCTTCGCCGCCCTCAACAAGCTGCTGGGCCGCAGCGTCTACACGTCGCAGGATCAGCTGGGCGGTCCCCAGGCGCGAGGGCGAAAAGGGGAGAGGGGGAGGAGGAAGGAGGAAGGAAGGAGGAGGAAGGAGGCGGGGAAGAAGGACGAATACGGAGGAGTGGGGGACGCGGGGAAACGCAGAAAGGAGAAGGCGGAAGGACGGTGGAAGAGGGAAGAGGGATGAGGGAGGAAGGAAGAAGGAAGAAGGAGGAGGAAGGAGAGGGGGAGCGAGGGAGGAAGGGCGGGAGGTATAGGAAGAGGAGGGGAGAGGACTATTCGTTATGTCTCTCTCTCTCTCTCTCGCTGTCTTTTTCTCTCGTTTGTTTGTCTTGTATGTCTCTCTACCTCTCTTTATGTAAGTCTGTCTCTTGTTTTGTTGTTTCTCTCTCTCTCTCTGTCCCACGCCTTGAGCGGACGGCTTGCGTTCGATTCAGGGCTACCTCGGCTAAGGACCAACTGCGCTCAACGCGTTGGACGGGAGGAGGAGGAGGACGAGGAGGAGGAGAAGGAGGACCAGAGTAAGCCCAAGGTGCACCAACGATGCTGCAGTACACCCTCCCGTCTCAGGTCCACCCCTCGCAAGTCCTTGCAGGCCTTCCTTTCCGCTTCCAGGAGCGGCACTTTGGGCATTGCACGAGCCGGGTCCCACTCGCTCTCGGGGGCGAGGCGTCGCAAAGACGGGGGGGCGAAGGGCGCACGTTCACACGTATGTTTGTTTCGCGGCCGTCTGAGCTAACCCATGGAGAGCATTAGTTGCATGCACCAAGCATACCAACAAAACGGAAGGAGACGACTAAGACGCAGAGTACGAATAACAACAATTGTTATAGGAATACTCGGAGTACGAATGCGAATGATAACGACACGCACGCTGAACTCTTGCAGCTGCGTGGTGCGAAGGTAGGCGAGGAGCGACATGCTGTCGGGGCGCGGGGTGGTTGGCGCGGTGAGGGTGGTGGAGGGGGCGAGCAGCGGGTTAGGGGCAGGGGGGCGGGCGAGGAGGTGGGGGAGAAGGGAACTCGGGGGGAGAGGGCATGGATGACGTCGGGACGTGGGGGGGTGGGGTGGAGAGGGGGGGGGCAGCGGGGGAGAGAGAAGGGGTTCTCTGGAGAGGGGAGAGAGGAAGGAGT